AGCAGTGATCCACGCCCGTGCTGCGCAACGATATATGCACTAATGGGGTGAGCGAGCGCAAGTGTATTGTAGACTCTTCCACTGACAATACATATCCATAAATGACTATAAATATATTTCCATTGACAATATATACCCATAATAGATCTATTTTCATAGACAATATATACCCATAAATGTCTATAGATATGTACACATAAAGGTCTATAGATATATACACATAAATATCTATAGATATATACACATAAATGTCTATAGATATATATACAAGAATGTCTAGATATATACACATAAATGTGTGGATATACATATACACCAAACCATATCCAGAGCACACACACCACTTAGTACTAACCAATAGCTCAGCAGAAACTGTAACGAAAACTGGTCCACGCCCGTGCCGCACAGCGACAGATTCTCCAATTTCGGGTGAGTGATCGCAAGTGTGTTGAAGAAATCCTCTCCCGCCAATCGACTCAAGCCAGAGAGTGACAGCTGCGTGAGATTGGGCATGCGGCTCAGCAGGCCGGCGCAATTTCGCTGTAGATTGGTATGAATATAGTGTAGGTATATCAGTGAGGTCAATGAAGTGTGGGTATATCAGTAACGTTCGTGTCAATAAAGGAGGATGTTGGGTCGGAGATTGGGGCCGATATTGTAACTATGGAAAGGCCTCCGGGTCACCAACGGGTGCGATATAAATTTCTTGAAGTAAGGACGAAGGGCGTTCACTCTGTGAGCAGGTGTAGTGTACTACATGATCTCGTTCAAAAAAATACATATAACCAGGTTTGCTGACACCACACCAGGAACACTCAATTGCTCTGTGTGACGGCCTTGAAGACTGGTACTCAAACTGCGAATACTATTAACACACGTGATAGCGGTAATGCGAAGTAGTGTGTGCGAAAGATTGTGCACGCTAACGCTACAAGTTGGTATGCAGAAGGAAACACATCGATTCCATAAGGGTTGGATAGAGATGTGTCTCGGTGGATACGGCTCATGTGAGAGCATCAGTTTGGTTGCCCATACCGATCAAATGAGGTATGCACACACACTAAACATAAACACTTCGCATGTGCACGCTAACGTCAATGGCACGAGCATTCTATCAGCAGGCAAACTGAGCTGGAGAGTCTCATTGGCCCAGAAAACAGACCAAAACAACGTACCGAAATATTAGTTCGGCTTATATCCAGAGATTGTAGTTCATGGGCGTATGCCGATTTGGACACCACTTCCAAGGCTGTGTTGTTCACCCCCAGAACATTCGCAAGCGACAGAGATCTCAAGGTCTTCAAGTCGCTCAGTGATGCAAGTGTCTGTACGTTTAACTGTGGGATACAAGGGCAGCAACTAGCTCAACAATTGGT